TTTTACCGCGGATAGAAATGGATCGCTGTTTATCATTCGTTGAATATCCTTGCTTTTAATTGGCGTAGTCCCGGGTTCGATCCCCAGTTGGGTCGATGGATTCGCACTGCTGATGAGACCCAACCAGGTCGAAACAGCTGTCCAGTGCTTCTTAGCTTTTCAGTTCACGCTTCATTTGCCATAGACACGACGAATTCTCATTTGAAATTGGTGTATTGTTGACGAGGTGTTACACGAGATTAATCAGATCGGGAGGGTCCATGAGTTTTACTTTGGTCGGTAATGGAAGGTGTTACCTTGCTGAACCTTGTCATCTAGCGCAATTTGTATTTATAAGCACATAGGAGAAGCGGCCATCTCTACAATGGTTACGTTCCCGGATAGCCCAGAGCGACAGGAAGAACAAAGACCGTCTGACCGTCAGATGCGTGTATGTTCGAATGAATGGTCAAGCACTAAACCACATGATAAGAGCGACAATCGTAACGTCATAGAAGGTCAAGGTTAATGACACTGTTTCTTCACCTACTGACCATTGGCACCCCTACCAACAATCTTGGGGAGTAAAACTTGGATTTCCTTCAGTTCGCGCAGTGAGGCTGGCAGGGGTTAATGATCGGTGTATACTTTGAACGGAGGGCCCCATGCGTTCCCCTGTAGTGTTTCCCGGTCTATTGAAACACTACTTTAAAAGTTTTCGTCGTGGATGAATGATAATAAGTCGTGCATCTTTAATTTTTGCAGAATCATTAATTACAGAGCTTATTAATGGTCTTGTATGACCTTTGCCAATAAGACTCTAAACGACCCCACCCATCCTTTGCATTTTGACTTTTCTTCTTGTCACTCCCACTCGATCACTCGTTCCTCCTATCGGTACCTACCTGAATAAACATATATAAAAACTCCACTGTACCGTATCTGGCTCGCATCTTGACCAACAAGAAACGAGTTATAAATGAATTACTTCATTCTTTAATTGAATGAATCGAACTTTAGAGGCATCTATTTTTTTACACAGCACTCTATTGAATTTCTTTATACTTCTATATTTTATCCAGTGTGACGACCAGTGTAAAATTTTTAACTGAAATGTAAGCATACCTCAGCTTGCAAAAGTTATACAAATACAAATGGAAACGTTTCACGGAAAAAATGACAGCCAAGGCTTCTCTATATAGTTGAGAGTGATTCCTTTCCGCAGGTTTTAGTGTTCTTGATGCAAAATCTATGGGTTTTTATCAAGTTGCCTTCCAAGCGATGACATAACACGGCACCAGCTCCAGATGGAAATGTATCACACTGTATCGAAATTGGTTCGTTTGGGTCAAAATGTGCCAAAAATGACGATGATCCTAGAAAACGTTTGGCAGCAGTGGAAACCCTTTTCTGTGAGTGATCTCTGACCCACGGTGTATTTCTATGCAGTAAGGCGTACAGTGGTTCGAGTGTTTGGGAAATATTAGCGAGAAACCATGCAAGTGAGTTTAGTTTTCTTAAGTCAAATAAAAAAGTCTCTTTAGCCCACCCAATAACTTTCTCACTTCGGACGGACTAATATGTTGCACACTACAATGAATGTGGCATCTATCTACTTCGATCATAAAGTTATTGAAATTTAACCAACCTTTTCGCGATACAAACTTGAATGAAGTATACAACAGCTCATCTACGGTAACTGTTGCTTGCTAGTGGTGTTTATTTTTTGGTGGGATTATGTACCAGAAGAGACAACGAAACTTTTTTGAAAATAAATTGTGCAACATTGTTCTGCTGTGTTCTTTATTCATAAAACTATCATTCAGAAGCCAAATCGCTACGTTGTTGAGCTGTTTGGGTCTTGTTTCGGCAAACGACTATGGTGACACGGTCAGCGGTTCTAGGGGGGTCAACGGGAATACCCCATCTGCTATCCATCAATCCGGACAAATCAACCAATTAACCATTGCTAACATGTCAGGATTGAAATAGCAGTAGAACAGAAACACGAGTATCATGTTTGGATGAGCCAATTCGAGGTACCATGCATTCGTGATGGTCTTGCGCGTGGGTCTCACTCCTTGTTCACGGTTCGAGTCCTAACAGGGACACAAAAAGTATGCACCGCTGACGAGTCCCAAGCACGACAAAACAGCTGTCCAGTGCTCTTTGCCGGCCTTCACAAACATTTCCATCGCATTAGAACAGAAGTGTTTTAACTACTCAAACCTGAAACAGTTTTGCGGAATGTATTGGCAGAAAATCAAAGTAACCAAAAACTTCCAATGTATTTATTCGCTAGATTGATCTCCGGATTACTAGAATTACTGAACCTATAGGTGTAGACGAAGACTTGATATCACACTCACCAAAACCATTAGGTTAATTGAAAAACACAAACGAACACTGTTCTTGGAATGAATAAGTTTATCTGGATACATATTAGTGCGGCAATCGGAGAAGGGATCGGTATTGTCAGCATGTCGTCTCTGATGATGTTTACCCGGAAATCTTTAATAGTAGAAGAATGCCTTCCGTGCCAGAGGCCACGTAATTTCTGTCAAAGATGAGAAATGGAAATGGAAGAAATTTTACAACTGTGAAATTGTTTATCACCAGTATAACAGTTCTGTGAATGATTACACTGCACTTATATGATTGGGCAGGGCCGTTTTTATTCTTAAAGTGTTGTCGGAAACTATCTTTATTTCATCACAAGCTTTCATTGTATTTGAGAATGAAATTCATAAGATAGCGATCAGAGGGAACGTGAATCAAAAAGCTAGAAAGCATTGTAAAGCCATCTCGGCCTTGTTCGACCCCATCATCATCATCCCGGGCAGGGATTAACCCGGGAACTTCTCAGGCAGTACGTAAACATGTTGTGCATGTACTTTGTTTGTGCCCCAATTGAGAAACACATCAATTCTTCTGCAATGAATAATTTCCTTACTAAACACTAAACCTTTATATCAATATCGTTCGCCCCTTTTACTCCTTCGCATGCTGTGACCGTTATTAGGAGAAATGTAATCGGATTGGTGGATTATGCTTACACCATGCACATTGCACATACCGAGTTTCATTCTACACCTTTGTTACTTCTCTGCATCAACCATGCAACAATTTACAGCTCTCCCTGAACCTTTCAAACTTTTTGAATTTATTTTTCATACTTCTCATACACGATTTATAGACGTTTCATCCATAATCCTTTAACATACGGTTTCTAGGGTTGACACTATACAATATGTGGGCGTCACTATTCGACGGAATCTCACATGAATTGAACACGTTATCATTAATGTGTGTAAGGCGCATGGTTTATATTTTCAGATTAGTAAGTTTAATTAGTTTGGTGAGGTTTAAAAGCAGGTATTCTGTTTGTGACCCAAGCTGCTTGTCCATTTTTCTGCATAGTCTTGCGGGATCTGTACAAGAAATAATTCAAGATAATCTCTCGTAAATTAACTATCACAAGTGACAATTTAAGGCATTTTAACCAACTGTTCTGTTGCCTAGTCTTCGTAAGACTCACGTCAGATTTAGTTTCCCTGGTTGATGAGGTTCTTTCTGACTGGACTCATTCTTTAAATGTTGACTTTTCGGAATTTGGCTCTCATAAATTCACTAAATAAGTTCATCGTTTTTACACTTCTCGTAGATCTTTTTAGAAAGTTTTATTAGTCATTACTTAACTCATATTCTTAGTGACAGGGACGATATTCGAAGGGATCTTTAAAAGAACTTGAATTCTGGTGGAGACAGATTTTTACTTTTTACTCATGGTAAAAGTTTCCCCCAAGAGCCAAACGCTCTTCAGGGCGATTCATTCAATGCCGTCAATAACACACATACAATTAGACTCTTTCGAATTTGTCTAAGCACAATATCGCATGTTGCGTTGCAGCAAGCCTATTACGAGTATGTGTCCTCAATCATCCAGTGACCATTGATTTTAACTCAGTTTGGAGCATTGCATACTTAGACACTATATTTAACATATGGAACACAGACCGCAAAAATATATCAACATTTTGATGTCACTAATTATCACGNTCACAACGGTTAGCATTTGCATAGTTATTCTGCACGATTCTTAGAAACGATCAGCACTTTGTAAACGAGTAAAGTATGAATCTATGTAAATATCATCTGATGTAACTTAGTCGTTTGAAGAGCGAGCGAAAATTTTGAGAATGAAATGGTACCTCCTGAACTGGTTGTTAAGAGTTATCACAGGAATTATTACAAACACGTTCATTGTGCCTTTCTTTGTCTCCGAAATCCTCTGAGAGCAGTTCACTGGTCATTGCATAGAACCCAAAAATAATATTTGGCAATATATGGCAACCAAAAGCGATACATCGTTACAAAACTGAGTGTTACCTGACTGGAGTGATGTCTCATACGGCAAATCGTATAGATTGAGAAATTCTTGCACCGGTATTATACCTTCAAATCTGCAAAGCTCAGCGAAGTATCCAATCACAACTGAAATTGTAGAAGAATAATAATAGTGATTGTTGGTTTGATTGCATAGCACAACACTCATTTATCGCAAGCAATCATTTCTGAAGCTTTAAATAACAAACAATAATTATTAAATGAACCAAGAAGCGCTACTTTCTTAGAAACCACCAACCACTCAGTCACACATGCTTACTGTTTAAAATTGCCAGTCACGAAAATCATTTACAGCGTCGTGAAACTGCAGCCATTTGGGATTCACAAATTACTTTTTTTCTAAATATTTCACTGCCCTGACATAATCAAACGGAAGAAGCTGAAATATTGCCCACAATGTAGTTCTTTTACTGGTGTTACTAGTTTGCAGTCACAGTGAAACCACAGTCAACCAATGTTTGTCGCTCTCGACGCATCTAAATGATCGATTTAAGGGGGTGGGGAATAACAGCACAGAATGAAAACCGATGTGCTACATCAAGCATCTAGTCCATACTACTGATACATTTGGGGTGCGTAATAATATGTACATACGTCAAGGTGATGAAACGTTATCATGTGATGATTGTACCTTGTTGAGGAACCAATTCCGGATGATCTTCTCGCAGTCGCTTCAGAATTTCCGTTAGCCTAATCTGACCGAACAAGTGAAAGGAGATGGAAAACAAGCGTACTGAATTACACAGATAACAAATTGAACCAGTATTTGAAATATCTGAAAATTTTCAAAGAAGAATTTCCTTGG